CAAGCCGGTAAGCGAGCATGTGGAGCAGGCAGGTCGGCCGGCGCGCGCGACCGCCGCCGCATCGCCAACATTCCTTACATTCAACACGCTCGCCCTCAGAATGCAGCCCGCGAACCAGACACGCCCACACAACTATTTTGCATAGTTCGATCCTCACTTGCACTCTTATACGAACCTTTAACGTTTTAAACTCAACCAATCGCGCTCCGTATCATTCCCACTGTCCGTTCCAAACGACATCGAGTTAAATTAACAGCTCGTCCCACAACAAGTCTAAAACAAAAGTAAGGAAGCGACATTACGACAAATTAGCGCCTTGAAACGAAATTCCTTGAAGGGTCACACGGCCGTCGGTTCGAATCCAAATAATTAGCTGGCGAGGCGGCGAGTGGCCGCGCGTCGCGAACTGTGCCAACTCCATTTGTAATTTAAGATATTTGACCGTTAATTGTGTTAGTAACTGTTACGTTTAGTGCTTGTTGCTTAGGTCGGAGCTGAGTGCGACCACGTTCCGTACTAACCTCTACAGCACTTGTTTAGATACTCATGTAAATACCTAGTTGATAGTTTACCTGTATAGCGCTCAGCGGCTCCTCGCTGACTTAGCATTGCGAGTGCTGTGTTTGGATGGGTCAGAAATTTTATTTGTTTATTTTATTTACTTTAGATAGATTTTGTTTTATGGATGCCAATAGATTTTGACTATAAATGCGCTAGTCTAGCGAGCTCCATCGTCCATAAATTTTTATTGTAGAATTCCACTGAATTGGAGTGTGTCCGTGAGTCCATAATGGGCACTATTAGCATACTAATCTCTTCTAGTTAGTGTCGTATTGAGCGCACAAATCCTGCGCAATGTGCTCGCTATACGCACAGTAAGTCCTTTCTCCCCTGCACGGAGCACGCTGCGTGCGTTAGCTCGCCCGCTCTGATACCTAATAGCCTATAGTCCGTGTCTGCATTCACCAACGAGCCGATACACTCTCTAAACTGCTCCGGACGGGGATAAGGGATTTACATACACACAATTTGTGTAAATACCTACCTAGTACCCCAACCTACCCACGCACTGTGTGTGCGAACAAACAGTTTGTGATTACCAAGAGAACAGCAGTTCGCCAAAGGAGTGTGACGTCCTCTACATCTCTAGGGCGAGTAACTTTGATTTTGAACATTACAGTTTGATCACTATCGTTGAACATTAGAATAGTGTAATCATGTGTGTAACATTTGGAAGATTTGAATTCAAGTAAAGACTGAAGTGTGGTAGACATTTCATAGAGTGCCGGAATTAAGAAGTAAATTAGCAGAACTGTAGTCCAAGTGTTTATAGACTAGATTAGAATATAAGATTTAGACTAAACAGAGGCAATACCGCGTAGGCTCCGTAGAACATTCTGGTCGTGTAACAAACATTTGATAAAATAGTCAAAATCCCGATAGCCTAGTCTAGCTGAATTAAAAATTATTTCGGGCGATTTTATTACTTATTGTATATTAGAGGAGCTTCAAATTAGTGTCGACTTACAAGGTTTCTGTGAAAAGAATAACAACTTTAAAGCTGGAAAATTAAATTGCTTTTTTCTTTGTACAAAAGGTAGCTATGTAAGCGACTAGAATAGTAATTGGTGGTTGAAGAAAATATTGTGATTGGTGGTGCAAACTTTCTTTAGATGTATTTATTGTTGTTTAGTTTTAAGACTTGTTTTAGAATAGTATTATTGTAATTTTGTCATTTTTGCCTTAGGCAGCAAGTATGTATAAAATAGTATCAAATCGAAGTGTTATTAACATCCTTAAGATAAATGCAAATAGAATAGAATTGAAATATTTTTAATAATAGAATAGAAAAAAAGACATTGTAATTTACTTAAGCTGTAGTTTACTTTTGTAGTTGTAAACGGAACTAATCCGTACGTACGTAGGTACATTTATAATTTGACTACATGGGTAGTAATTATAATTGAGGATTTTTAGTATTTCGTAGACAGTGATGATTTGAAATTTTTCTAATTCATTTATTATCAGTGTGGTATAAAGATTCATATTACTCGAGTTTCTTTTCGCTTTTTAAATGTCGCTTTACTTGTTATCCGACTAATCCCATTCTATGGCTGAACCACGGAAGCTAGTGCCGGTTAGCGTGACGCGTGACGGGCTGAGCACCTTATTGAATGGGGCAGGGACGCGCTGCGAGAGGCACTCTGGCAGGCTCCTGAGATTTAGTGAAAGGACACGCGGACGCGGCTCCTTCTTTGAATTTCAAATGTGTTCGCGGCGCGTGCGTGCTGCCCGAGTACACCCGACATAGGAATTCGATTAATTTGCAATTGAGATAAGTCCCAGCAGCTAAACGATCGAAAACCCGCAAAAGCGTATCATCTTCACGGTGAGTTATTGATGGCACCTATTAAATATACGTTTTTGGCGAGACGTGTGCGAGAACCCTCGGTAAACGCTCAAATAAAACATTTCAATCGCGCCAAGTGGGAAATGAAGTATCGCGATCAGTTAAGTGACGGATGAGAACTTCCTAGTTCAACTTACCCAAGTATTTTTCCAACACCCGCAATTTTTACCGAAATGTAACTTCTGAGTAACTTATACACCAATACTCGCATTTTAAGTAAAATACCAAAAGCAACCAAACGTGAAACGATTCCACATTCACAAATAAATATCAAACTTATTGCTTCTGAAATCTGTATACCTCCATAAATACACCCATTACAGAACAAAAACGAAATATGGAAAAGCTTTAATATCCACAAAAGAATATTGATTCGAACTTTTCCATTTCTTTGTTATTACTTCCATGAGTAAAGCTAATAAAATACTTACCTGCTTGTACCTTAAAATTCGGAGCTGATTTTCGAAGTCGGCGACATTGTAGCACATAAAAAGTCCCGCGTAATATAGTGGATCCAAGGGTGGGTGTTACGTCGCCTGTACGCTCCGTGAATATTTCGTTCGGCCGTCATCCCACTTCTGAAGAAGAATTATTAAGTTTGCCCGAACTTCGCAATTATGAAAGTTCGAATAGCTCTCACCAGACGGCCTCTGAATTTATAGATGAATGTGTGCCCCCCGCACCCTCAAGGTGAGACACACGCCCAAGTAAAGATAATTTAGATGAATCACTTTACCAAAAGGATATTAGCTAGAAAAAGTAACTTCCAATTATATAACAAACAAAGAGTATGCCAGCGGTACCGAATACCGAGCTTGATAGCCGAAACTTCACGAACGAAGAAAACTCTGTAATTACACGTGCATCAACTTTTTCAACTTTAAACTTAGTTGTTCGTGCCTTCGTTTCTATCTCCCCGGTACGTTCAAAGCGTCAAGAAACTTTAACTATTACACGCACAAATTACATGGCGAACATGCGTTAACATGTCTGTTCAAAGTATCTATTAGCTGGGAGCTACGTCCGACACAGATATGACCGCTGTAGATAACTCGTCTCGCGCCGTTCGCATGTAAACTGGATTGTTTAAGTCGTAAATTATTTGAGGTCAGGAACACGCTTCGCACCCAACTTAGTTGGGCCTGTTTGTGACTTTGTTTACTGTTAACCGACCCGTGGAGCATGATTCGAGTGATAAACAATGTTTAATAACAACAAAACCTCCCACAGGTTAGCTGACGTCTATCTTACTGTACAACTTAATGCAGAAGTAGGAATACTTAAATATTTGAACTAGTAGTTTTATTTCTCGAGTAACATCTATTAGTTATAATACTCCTTTAAATTAATGAGTATAAGAAGTCGATCGAGGAGCGCTTCGCTGTAATGGGAAAAGAATGAACTAAGACCGATCGACATATTAATGATCCCGAGACGTGTCTGCGCCAACACTCGAATTCTTATTTATTACACTTGGCCCTCAAATAAATAGCCTCTCACATCGCAAAGTAATGTTATTAAAATGTGTCAGCATTTTAGTAGGGCGGGCGAGAGCGGGCGCAAGCGCGATCGCGAGCGCGGGAGTGGGCACCCGCGCGCCATCTATCATTCATCCTCCATTACTTATATTGTACTTTTTTCGCAAAGTCACTCGCAGGCCGGTAATCACCTGGTGCGACCGCGGACCTCCATTTTTCACACTAAATCATAACTCGCGCATCTGACAAAAATAAAATTTGTCGTACAAGCCAATAGGGGTAAATGGTGACACTATGATTAGGCAAAAAATGCGGCACGAATATTAATCTAGTTATTGTTAAGATGTCGGGTTACGTTTATTATGAATCTACAGAGTAAGTTTGTTGAGATTTTGTTGAAAATCGAATTTTGTAAGTGTGTCGTAAATTCGTATGGGGGTTTGAGAGTGTAGGTACAAGTTTATATCTAAGTGAGTTACTGTTCTGGTCGTTATTTATTCTCCGGTTTATGTCGGCTAAATAGGCGCGTGAGCGCTGCGTACCGCGGACGTTTCAGCGGCCGAGCGCCGAGGGCCGGGCGGTGCGCGTCGCAAGTCGCAAGACGCTGCGACGTGCGCCGTATGCTAATGTCCTTCCCTATTCAATAAGCAGACCGCCGCGTGCCACCGAGAACTCACGTCGGATAATTTACTGGATATTTTGTAAAAGTTTTTTCGCCCTCTGTGATTTATGCCCGCGAAACTTCGAGCTCTCTTTTTCATTTGAATGCACGTGACATACGTGATATTTTTTTGTTCCGACATAATCTGAGCCCGGGGAGTCCTCTCTGTCCTCATTCGTCAGCTCCGCATCTGTCTCCAACGGTTAAATTATTCATGCATTTACGCGCTTCAACTTTATCCACGCTAGAAAACTTTAATATTGAGTTGGGATTACATCGATAGTCACTTTACCGTTCAATATGCTAAATTGAAGAAAAATGAGGTGTAGCCGCGAGAAGAGAGCGCGTGGGGGTAGTGTTTGAAATTCAAAAATTTCGATGGTTCAGTCATGAATGCGTGTGTGTGTGCTATCACTAACGAGTGTGAGCGTCACTCGTGTACGTGGAGCGGATGCGAACCGTGTGTATGTTTGCAGTTGACCTGACCAACGGCCAACTGACACCGAACAACAACACACCGCTGTTGGCGCAGGCGCTCTCAGGTGAGGACGCCGACATGCCATCACTACTGCACATTACTACACATTGAGAATAATCACTAACGCGGGGCTTCACCATCAACATTGCAATTCATTCTAGAAATAAGTTCAACTGTTGCTCAGTTGGTAAATTTCTTATAAAAACCACAAGCGTTTATGGTAAGCCCCCAGCCCATTAACATCACCCCTGACAGAACACACCTTTTATCATTGCACAGAACTCTACATCACAGTTCGGAATACACAGTTGTGTATATCTGTATGTACTTAACACTACATCATTCATCTCCCGCCGGTGACAAGTCATCATAACATTCTTACGAAAATAAGCGCTGTGTTATGCTTTGTGTATGTACATGTGAATTACCCCTCAATCCTTTCTGTTTATGGTATCGGTAATTGGTGGTGTGACATCTCAACTTCAGTTTTTTTTTTATAAAAGATATATATATTATGGATATTTAATGCATTGTATTTAATGAAATAAAAATAAAAGTCAGATCCCGCTCAGAGCTTTAGTATAGCAGACTTAAAATTACACCTTGGAATTGGAAAAGCACCGCTCAGTGATACGAAAAAGGCCAGTACGACTGGCACAATGTTTCGCATTTTCGCTGGCTGAATAAACACGTGGCTCACTGTCTATCTCGCTTCCGTCACCGAGCCAGTGAGCTTTGCCCAGCGCGAGCAAGCCAGACTTAAACGATTTTTAGTCTTAAAATCGCATATTCCGTATTCCCAAATGGGAATTTAAAACTCAATCAAACTTTTTAAAGGTGTTAAAGGATATTTCATGAGGATTTGTAAATTGTTTCTGATTAAACTACTTATTACATTACATTTGAAATAGATGTTAATCTGTTTAAGATCTATTATGAGCGGGTGGTTAAGAAAGATCTTAATAGGCTGACGAAGACATTACAAGGCGTGCTTAAACTAAAATGCCCTTATGTTCACAGTGATGAACAATTACCAAGCAGCAGCCGCTGGATTTGGGCCACCTGCGTCGCCACATGCTGCCGGAGGACGAGCTGGTTTCCCGGCCGCAAGTTCGCCGGGGCCAGCGCTTGACGTGTACGGCTCGGCTGCCGACAGCGTTGGATACGTGCAAGCCGCAAGCCCGCAACCCTCTGGATTCCCGGCGATCGCCGTCAGCCGTGCGCCTCTCAATTACACCCCAGTAAGTGAAACTATACATTTACAGTTACAGGTCAACCAAAGAGCACCTGAATTCCTCCGTTTCCGCATCTACTTGTCTGATTCAAAGACGTTCCCGAACCACAACGTCATACGCTTTAAAGCAATTTGCAAATCGCAATATGAAATTATTAATACGCAAGCAAATTGAGTGTTCCTCCTGTTGAAATAATCCTTAGGCACCTGTTGCGAAACTCATGGCAAGTGAAATGGTATGTTCGTGACGGAGACTTTGCGAAACTTCGTTGTTGTATCTTAAAAAGGCTAAACAAAATTAATATTTGGAACGAGAATCGAAAAATGAAATTATACAGCAATCCTAGATGAACAAAGTATTTTATAGAAAGAATATAAGAAAAGTTTCTTATACTTATTTTATTTCATGATGAATGGGATAAAGTTAATAACTTTTGATTCTAACTTTTTTCATTTATTACGTCATGTTCAAAATGCCTTCAGTAACGCCCAAATGAAGGCAATTCCCAAAATTGTCCTTGTTCGAGAACTTTCAACTGTCACAGCATTCAAATTAATGTTTGTTCTGTTTTGTTTTTCTCCAGAATGTTTGATTCGCGTTCTCTGATGTTAAAATTCATTTTTGCATTATTCATGTTAACAGGAAAGAAAAATAACTGTGTGTTTACACAATCTTATTTCTCGGGAGCTGTAGTAAATTTGGTGTGTCTAGCCGGTGTAAGAATTTCATTAGCAGTTAGTCATCGCGGGATAAGGCACTAAGTGCGCGGCGGTGTCGGCGCGGCTCCGCGAGGCCGACGAGTGGGTCGCGGGGCGCTCCGACCCTCCAGACTCAGACGCAATTAGCAGCCGACGACACTCTAAAATTTTAGCGAGACGGTCCAATCTCATTATGGAACCGATCTTCCTTGTCGCTCTTAAAGCGTAATCACCATAAGTTAGCGAGCGAGTGAAGCGTGAGAGATGCGATTATAAAGTGTTCCAAAATATGAGCGCGGCGGGGTGCGGGGGCGGCGCAATCTACGCGGTGCACTGCCGCGGGTAATGGCTTTTTAAAACTGCGACCGCGCTCCATAACTGCTTCCCTGAGACGCCATCAGTCTTCATTGCTTGTCGACGCCCGCCAACTACCGCGCACCCACCGCCGCCGAGATCTTAACTCCTCACGTCGTGCTATCTTGAGACATTTTTCAAAGTGCACTCGAAAGCTGCTTTAATTTTTACACCATCACATCGCTGGCCTTGCCAACTTATTACACGGTCATGTGAACTTCGCACGATCGTACGAGTTTGGTTTTGTTTTAGGACAGTGACTAATTTACAGTGGCTTCCGTTGATCAAATAATCGGGATACCGTCAATCTACAAGAGCGGCGATGTAATTAAATGTAGAACAGGTATTGGACACGAGCGAGCTAACTAATTGTTACCCGAGGCTTAATTTGAGTCATTCGCTCGCGGCGTTACACTGAGCTACCCTTCGGTTTCAGGCGCGTCATATATCAAACGGGATATTAACTCAATCGTCCGTAATCGCCGGGGCAAAACAAATACGTCGCTAATGAGAGAATGAACGGTCCAGCCGTCGAGCGGGCCGGACCGGCGCATGTGGTTCCCGGGTGTAAAACGGTCTTATTAGGTAACGGGAATGCCCCCACGGGCAATAACCGTAAATCAAGGAGAACAAGCGGTGTAATTACCGTTGCCGAGCGGTCGCGCGCGTTGCTCTAACTCATCCACTGTTTTTATTTTGTTGGCCACCGAGCCGCTACCACTCTATCGACTGCAAACACCAAACTTACTGCCTTTAAATCTGCCCCCGGAGAGGTTAATGTTCGCTTGAACGGTTTATACTTCCATTCAATTATAACCCCGACTGCATGCCAATAATTTTGAGCTGAACACTCGTGCTATCTAAAACTGACTCTTGTTTATTTTTCTCATTCCAGGGACCCCTGATTCCTGCGGCGTTTACCAACGGTTATCATTGAAAGTGTTATAGCACAAATATTTTACGTGAGTATAACAGTGTTTTTAATGTGCTTTTATGTTCCACTCTATTAAAATGTCGTTACGCTGAATAAAAACGTCGGCGTGTGTTCATAGCGCCGCGAAAATGAACACTTGTATCGCAATTACACAAAATGGTTTTAAATGGTCTCTTTAGTCTTGTAATCTTTCATCTGCGTACAAAGTGCAAGTGGTCAATTACTAGGGTAATAATGAGTGCTGAGTTTGTGCTGTGTTTACACATATTAAGGAATGCAAGATAGATAGTATAGGTAACACAATGTGGTGTGAACTCAGGTGGCGAGCGGTGTGGCGGCGCCTAGCGTCCCGAGCATCCGGGCGCCGCGTGCGCCGCGCTGCAGGCCCCCGCCGCCCGCTGCCCGCCCGCGCACCTCCAGCCCCGCGCCACCGACGGAGCCCCGGACACCACCGGACCCTCCCATGAACATCACTCCGTCAACCGCGGCGTCTCACCTTCCCCCTGTATCCCAATCTGTCCTCATCCTCACAACTCCTCACCCTCATACTCCCCCTCTCCACACTCTCTCCCCCCACCGACTCGGTCTCGTGACCCCGTCTATTGTAAATAACGATAATCTACTTTTTGTCGTGTGAACGAGAGATAGTCTATCGATTGAACAGGTATTTTTTCAAATTTTTCTCGCTTTCGACTGTACCGTAGATGTGTTGTCAGAATAATAAACAATTAAACTCCAAAAAAAATACATTTCATAATAATATAAAGTGCATCTAGACGATTTTATTGCAGGGAGGTATATCTTAAAATATTTTATGGTTCATAGTTAAATTACAGCGTAAGGTGTAAACGGTCCTCGACGCGCGGGACTTAGTAGTGGAAGGTGTTATTTCTTTGTGCATTGTATTCGTATCGTTGGGTGGGCTCAGCGCGCGACTGCGCCGGCGCAGGCGGGGCCCGCGCGTGCGCACGACGCCGCTGACAATAACGCGACCGCCGCGCGCCTCCCCGCTCGTCCACCTACACATATTTTATTCTATCTATTTTTAATATTAATGTCAAATATTAACATAATTATTATACTACTATAATTATATTACGCATATTTTACCTATGAATGTAATTATTTTCGCCTAATTCGAATTGTATAAAATCACCTCTTTGAACGGCTGTTCTGTTTCAGTAGCGATCAATTTCTCGATTACTTCCGTATAAGACTACGTTAGTTACGCGTATACATACTTTCTAATATTATGTATTATGATATAAAATTTTATCCTAAGGATAATATGATCATATTTACGATTCATAAGGACGTTTGGAAAGCTAAGTCGGTAACATTTCAGAATATCTCTCATCGCGTTAAGATAATTCGTTTCTATCTTATACCTTTGAACGTAGGTATTGTAATTATAATAATAACAATTTTGTGCATTACGTAATAAATATTTCATGGTTTCTTACATTGTATTTACCGTAATATAAGACCACTGTTGAAAAAACATACACGGCTCCACTTGCATTAATGAGTCACACCATATTTAGATGTATTGGACAATTTTAATCAACATAATAATAATAATTCACTAACAATGACGTTTCATACATACAGTAACTACACGACACAACATTTCAATAAAAATAAAGACAGGGATAAAAAAATTACAGCCAAAGGCGCAGGTTTGAGGTAATAGATTAAAATATGAAGTCAATTCATTAATCATATTCGTTAGGTACTGGAGACAATTATCGACCACTTCGTCTAGGTTGCAGCAGTTAGGGAGCTAAGTGGGCTGCGCGCGTAGCAGTTGCTGTAGCGCAACGCTACGTCGTAGCACCGTGCTACGACCGGCTGCTAGTCGCCCAAACCGCGCACACGTTCGCCGCTCGCTATAAACAACATGCACTCGGTTGCATTCATTCGTTATTTACTATTATTATTACTCATTACCTACATCAATTAAACATTAATATTATAAATCTAGGTATTAAATTTTAGGTAATAATAATAAACAATCTTTTAAAGCTATTATTATATAAATACGTTATAAATATAAATGTTTCCTGTTACAAAAAAAAAATATTGAAAATGATACGAAATAAATCAATATTCTTTTTAAAGGTAATTTATTACTTATGAGTATGTAGTTAATTGAATAATGGAGTGTTAGATGGAGTGCGTTCGTCGCCGAGCGGCGCGCTCGCTTCGCGTTTTATGTTCGTTCGTGCCGAATTCGTTCGCTGAGATGACGTCACGTGCGGCAGGCGCCCCTTCGAGGCCGCGCCGCGCCGTGCCACGCCGCACACACCGCAGGAGACGCGACCGCGATTATGTTGTTAAAAACGTTAGCTAGGAAATTGAAAATGAAATCGAAAGGTGTGAGTCTTTAGGACGGTCGGAATATCGATATCATACCTAACAAATTAACGTAATTATTTGTTTTATATTTACGGTGTTATAGGTATTTAAGACATTTTTTCTTAGAATATTTAATTATTACGATGAGATGTTATAATTGTTAGGCCCGGGCCGGCGGCGGAGTGGCGCGCGCGCACCTCACCGCCGTCGGCCGTCTCATTCACTCTCACATCCTCACTATAATTATATTTTCTTACCGACCTTTTTAATGTAGGAGAAGCGCACACGGCCGCTTGTCCCCGTGCGAGTACGAGTACAAACAAACATATAGTGAGAGACGTTCGTTTCGCCGCGTTCGTGAGAAGCCATCGGTTCGCCGCGATTGCATCGAGACGATGATACACGATGACAATTATTGTATATACATAGTTAGCCGCATGTGTAAAAAGACGTTTAGGTAGACGCCGAAGTGTGGCGTGTAATGTATGCGACAGATGATGCACAAGCGCAGTGCTACCACCGCGCTGACCATCGAGCCGGTAGGTGTGTCGCCACCCTTATATTATACGGCGTTTTATACCTTCAAGCTGAACATCAGATGGTATTTATCAGAAAGCTACATAACTCAAATGTGAATAAATTAAAAAAACACGGAATAATTGTCTTGACACAAACATCATACACAACATTACGATCAAGGTCTAAAAACTCGTCATAATATAAGTCCGGTGACACACCGAGTTACCATCTGGTCGATATTAGATTCATTCAGCAATCAGATTTAGCTGGCGTTTATTAGTTTCATTATATTGTTCTTAAGTTATAATGTTTGTGAGTTTCTTTAGTGTCATCCTTAGGGCTTCAGTCTACGGGTCATCTTGATGCCGGATCTGTCATATCATATGTATTTAAAGTACATTGTTTTCATTATTTTCTTCAGTGTATTTAAATATTCTTTTGTTAATTTAAAGTCAATTAAGAGTTTAATTTAATGTTGTATGTTTGCTTAAGTTTATATTATACTGAATATTTTGAATTATCTTTAGAATTATTTGGTAGCTAATATGGCCCGTAGTTCGGAAGCCACTTGTTCTAAGTGCGGTCGTTTGTGGTCAGCGCACGATCACTTGGCGGTCGCCACGCTGTCACCACAAACGCCGTGCGGTCCCTCTCGCTTGTTCGTATATGCGATAGTTGAGTTACTTCAGTCACCATTTAGACGTGTTCTATATCAGAATAAAGACTACGTAATAATAAGCGAGATCTCAAATTTATTTTAAAATTCTTTATGTGATCCTAATATTGCGACTTATCGTATCTATATGTATGTAATAAAATTAAAAAGATAATTTATTATATTTTGTATAACATTCTACGTTTATTTACACTCGATCTACTTTATATTAAAGATAATAATTAATTTTAATCTAATAATGACAGACTGGTAAAGTTCGTAGAGTCGCCGCGGCGGCCATAGATCAAGTAGCTTTGCATATTCGGCGATGGCCAACTAAGAGTTTCTTGGACCAAAGGTATACTAATTCGCGTAGAACCGGAGGCGCATTGGCTCCGCACGAACCCTTCCGACCCGAGCCGAGCGGCCGACCGGTCGCCAGCAGAGCACCGGGCCCGCGCGCCCGCGCACCCCGTCCCGCTCCCGGCCCCCACCCCCGCGCAATGCCGCCCGCTTGGTTTCGTTCTCGCGGTTACTTCTCGATTGCGTGCTTCGCGTGCTGACTGATTTTCTATAGCAATAAAAATCAATTACCTAAGATTTTACATTAAAATAAATTTGGATTTATATACGTTCGAATTTGGTGTCATGTACATTTAAAATATTAGAGAAAGGAGATAACGATAGGCGAACGATCCGCGACTGTCCCGTCGCGGCGTCGGCGCATTATTTTCGTCATTTCTTCGTGTATAATATGTTACATGAATCTGTATACAATATGGATATAAATCGTAATGATGAATAAAATTAGTTTTTACGGCATCTCTTTATTAAATAATGATAATATCAAAACGTTTTGTAAAAAGCGGTGGGTATGTCTGCCGCCCCGATTTCGTGCACCAATGCACTTTCTTATTGGAATATTACATTATATAACGTACATAATACTATGAGATATATAATCATACAGCCTTTCGGGGCGCGCGTGTATGGCGATGTATGTATACACATTGTGCAATGTACATATACCTTATATAATACAATGATTTAAGACAAGGTTCACATCGTGCCGTGTGTATGTGGTAATAAATATAATATGGACATTGTTCAAACAATAACCAGTTGTTTTATTTATTTAACCTAATCATCTAAACCCATGAAATCCCCACATGCATATTTTAATTAATTAAATATTGTCCTCAATCATGAAATATTCAACAAATATTAGCATTCATTGCATATTAATATGATTAAAATGATATTCATATTTATTGGTATGTTGAAATTTTAATATCGTACAGCTTGAGTTTATAATAATGAAATCATGAAACTGTGAGTTTGAATTATATTAAATTAAAAGCCGGCAATATTATTTTATTATAATAAAAGGTTCAAAGAAAACATTATTTAACTATGCACATCACATTACATTCCTTGATATACATTTTATACACATTCGAAGAAAAGAAAATTGTTAACCAAAGAAAAGCTACTTCAGTGCAACTTGATCCTGAAACTGAAGATGTTTCAGTAAGTATGTAATTATCGTCCAGCCGTTCCTGTTTTCCTGTAAGGCTGTTTTCAATTCGTAAGTATATAGGTAGGTTATCGTAAGTATTACAACATATGAAAGAAAAAAATAATAATTATCAGACCTTTATTCAAAATGCATAGGGCTATAAAACGAGAAGCTTGTTGAGATAGGGGTTCGAATCCCCCAAGAAGACAGTTTGAGACTATAGGTTCAATTACCAACTATAAAAAATATAATCAACAAATAAAATAGAAAAACAATTAAATAATGATCATTTTTAGAAAGTAAACAGATTTCAAACAATCTCGTCGACAATGAGTCTTCTTTCTTAGGTTCAATTCTTATATAATTATACCAAAATTATAAAACTCCCATGACAGAATCACCTGATCTGAATAAATTCTGAAGTTATTGCGAACCTAGATCTATTACAAATCACATACACTGCTTTGTCTCAAGTGCAGAAAGTAAAGCCTAAGATTATTGAATACTCCTTTAACTGTATCTTCATCAACAAAAATACTTCTCGAAATATACGTGGGTACTTAGAAATACACACGCCTATATTAAT